GACGCCGGCCGAGGCCGAAGGGCCGCTCAGGACACACGGGCCGGTTGTGGGGGGGGTTCTCGCGGAAAACTGTGCGTGGGAGGCCCCGCCGGGGCGTGTCTGCGCTGGATTTTGGAAAGACAGGTGGACGGGCTTCATACTTTTAAAAAAGAAAAACAAAACAAAACGATTTCCCTCAATAAATTATTTAAAAGGCTACAAAAGAAAAAAAAACGATTTGCACTGGACCTGGAAGCTGGACAGGCCTAGAACCTTCTAGATGGTTCTAGAAGGTTCTAGACTGCTCTAGAGGGTTCTTTCCCCTTCCTGATGGGGGGGGGGGCACGGGGTCCTGGAGCCCAGACCCGGCCCCGCCGGGCTGGCAGCCCATTGGCCTCCGGAATGGAACCCATTTCAGCCTGAGGTTTTGGAAGGACAGGCCCGGGCAGCTGGGTGGGTCCGAGGGAGGAGAACGCGGGTTAACCCCGAACATGAGCTGTGACCTGCAGGACGTCCCGGGGCAGGAGGAGAGAGAAAGTGTTTTCACACAGATGAACGCGGGAACACGGGGAACGTTGAGAACAGGGTTTTTAGAAGTTTCCAGTAAAAACTCCCCGGGTGTCACCCCCTTAGTCACTGTTCCTCTGGGCTCTTCCAGGGGGATGACCAGCCCCTAAGGAGGGGGAGGCAGGGAGATTAATGTCTACCCTCTCAGGATAAAAAAAATTAGAGGCAACAACAAAAACATACACTGACCTTGGGCCCACTCCCCTGGGCCTGTTCACCAGCGACTTAAAAAGCAAACAAAAAACAAAACGAACAAATGCCATTAGGACCAGACGCCATCCCGGCTCGCGTTGGAAACCCCCTGGCAATGGCCGGGTTTAGGAACCAGGGCCGAGCCGCTCACAATAGATTTCACCCCCGCCCCCGCCCCCGTTGTTTTTTAACATGTTTTCCAAGAGAATGAACTCATGACGGGAAATGGAGACAAATAAAATGTTTTCTGGGGTAGCAGCCCCCCCAACCCCCCCGGACTTCCAATACAGACTTCTGTCAAGGTCATTTCTTAAGCAATGGACACAGACCGTAGAGGGGTGAGGGCGTGTGCTGGGGGGTGA